TCGATCGGCCGCCGATATTCACTCTCTGCCGATCAATCGGTGCTCTCTATAAATGCCGATCGGGGGAGCCGATCACATGAGTCGTAAAATACATGACACTTTTCTCTGTGCGCGGCAAAACAAGCTCGCCAAAATGACTTCACCGGTCTGGCAGTATTTTAAGGGTGTCCGAAAATGACAATAAAATAGCGGTATGCAACGTGTGTGAAGCAGAAATCCTGCAGCTCCGCCCGCTGTGACGGACCGGTGAGCGGAGCAACTCACACACTTAGTTAGACCTAACACACTTAGCTATTTTATCTACTTCTGGAACAGGCTAAACTAGTTATAAATATATTTATTCTTCACTGTCGGCCCCAAAATTGGCGATCGGAGCATCCCTAGTTATTGCACTGTTGTGCTGATAGTTATGAGTCATAAAAGGCAATAACAAAAACAAGAATGCTTCATTACTGAGGCTGAAAACTGCCTCTGCTGGTGCAGTGATAGTTCTGAAAGAGAACCAACAATACCATTTATTGGATATATGTGATGTGATCATATTTTTCATTACTAGGCAGCTGAAACATTACTCGCATAGCATCAACATCTCTTCTCCTGAACTGTGAATTTCATTTTGATTAGCAAGTGTAAACCTCTTTTTGTGTGGATTACATCAAAGCCAAAAAGATTCATTATTTTTATCTCCACAGGAAGTGTTAACCCTTAGAAAGGGAAAGCTTGAGACCTTAGAAATAGTAGAACATGTGAGAGTGAATGGATAAAGTGAGAAAGTTCTACACAGCAAAAGTCAGGTTGTTTACCTGTATGTCTGACCTCCAGTGAGTTTTCTTAGTTTTTATTAAAGCGTGTCTACTCAAACAACGTCCCGTTTCCCCCTCCCCATCTTTCTCTGCTCTCTTCTCCCAGGTGACATTCACAAAGCGAAAGTTTGGCTTGATGAAGAAGGCCTACGAGCTGAGTGTGTTGTGTGACTGCGAGATCGCTCTGATCATCTTCAACCACGCGAACAAGCTGTTCCAGTATGCCAGCACTGACATGGACAAGGTCCTGCTCAAATACACCGAGTACAACGAGCCTCACGAGAGCCGAACCAATGCCGACATTATCGAGGTAAACTAATCAAAGCAGCAGCGTTGGTGTACGAGTCGCAAACTTGCTTGAGTTTTTCGGTCATCTAAAAATGGGTAAAAACAGAGACCTAGCCTTAAAGAGAAATAAGATACCAATCATCCTTTATAGAAGTTAACAAATTCCCCCTTTTTTAAAAGTGGAAGGCAGTAAGTCAAGTACAACATCTGAACACTTATCTGACAACTTTTCAACTACATTGTGCAATCAAAATGTACTTCATAATGTCTATTGCCACTTTAATAAAACTCCTTAGTTCCTCCTTGTAGCTTTTACACAAGAACTTACTAGAACACACTTTTCCACATAAAAGTAACCAATTAGCTGAGTTTCGGCTCCTCCTCAGGTAGTGTTGCTAATGTCTCACATACATATTTAATCAACATTTATATCAATATAGGCATCAGAATTGAACTTTTAATGGAGTGTCAAGCAGCTGATTTTATTCTACCCTAACTTTCTTTTTGATAGACTTTGAGGAAGAAAGGCTTCAACGGGTGTGACAGCCCAGAGCTGGACGGGGAAGACTCGATCGACCAGAGTCCCCTGAATGATGACAAGTACCGTAAGACCACAGAGGACCTGGATGTCCTCTTCAAGCGCTACGGGGTGAGTCATCTACTATACTGTAAAGACTGTTCTGCTTCTCTCTGGACTGTGGGATAAAAACACTTCTTTGTTATTATTCTGTGTTTTGCTCAAGCGCCTACAGGAAACGGCTACTGGGGTGAAGTTCCTCTAACCGGTTGTTTTTATCACCAGGTCTTTTACAGAGAGCTTGAAACTTCAGATCAACACAAGAGATAACAGATGTATGATCAGTCACCATCATATCTGGTTAATGTTAACAAAGCACATTTCAAGCAGTTGAGGAGACGGAATTATTTTAAAGGAATTCTAACTAATACTCTCTTGAAACTTCACTTCTCGTTTCATCCTCAACAGCTTTTTGTTATTTGGACTAACAGTTTGTTAGTTCTTTCCGGCCCTATGTGTACTGCTTCTGTCCTGAAAACCTTAACTAAATATTATACGCTGACGAAGCTCACACATATCTCAAACTTATATCAAAGTACCCTGGTGGCCTTAAATTCATGCTGTGCTTCCTTTGAAGAACCTCCTTCGACTTAATGAGCATAATATGGCCCCTTTAAAGTGTTACTTGGCCCTTCAGGTGTATACATTGTGCATTTTTCAGGTAACTAAATTTGATTTGATTTGACATGCTAAACCATCTGCTTTGCTGTGTTAAAACTAAAATATATTCAAATGTGTCGCTTACCTGTAATACAACCCAGTGGAAAGATCGCTTATCAAAGATGTTGTGTATACTGTATGTTTGAAAGTATGATTTCTGAAAAGCGGCGATGAGGCGGTGAGCAGTTTTCTGTGCGATGAAGAGTAAAAGTGAGTTTCTCCCTCCCGGCTTTGCAGCAGTCCACCGCTCCGTCCCAGACCTTCTCCATGCCAGTCACAGTGCAGGCGTCCAATCAGAGCACACTGCAGTTCAGTAACCCTGGCAACGCGCTGGTAACTACCTCCTATGTAACATCATCATCGCTCACGGATAACCACCTCCTGTCGCCACAGCAACCGGCTCTCCAGAGAAACACGGTGTCTCCCGGGTTGCCACAGCGACCAGCCAGTGCAGGTGAGTGTCCTCAGTAGATGTATAAACTCGGGCAGAAACAGAGGGTGAAGACGTTCACAGTATTTAGGAAAATACTGTGTTATGTCGCATCTGTTGTTACCAGGTGTCATCCCTTATTTGTTATCATTTCATGTTCAGATCTGATCAGTTCGTCAGGAAGGGGATCACATTCCTCTGCACTGTTCGACTGTTTTTTACATTTGAAGTTTCTATTTCTGGTTTTTGAAAAGCTTATCATGTCTCCAGTCAAATATTATGACGTCATCACCCAAAACAAATCCTTCATATTGAGGTTTAAAAGAAACCTCAATATGAAGCAAACGATACATTTGTAGCTTCATTCATAAAGTAGAGTTTCCTAAATCAACATGTATTTGCTGCACAGCTTCTTCTTTTTTTTAAATGATGTTTTAAATTAATTCATCGATTTTGTGATCGTGTTTTCGTCTTATCTGGGCAAGACAAATTCAAAAGGTTCACAATCTGTGAAATGTCGGGTTAATGTGTGATAAAGAATCATTTTTTGAAAGTAAGAAAGAACTAGAGAAAAATATATTTTAAGGATGAAAATTTGATTAAATTAAAAGAAAAACAAGCATCTAAAAAGTGTGTGTTGTAGGTGGGCTTGGCACAATCTCCAGTGTGTAGTGTTGTTAAATATCACATTATTATGGACTATATTTCAGAACATGTGAAACCTTCTGGTGTTGTTTTGGGTGTTTATTCACATCCTCTTTTTCCTTATTCGAAAGGTGCTCTTCTTGGAGGCGATCTGAATAATTCAAATGGAGGATGCCCAAGTCCAGTCCGTGAGTCCTCTCCTACTCTACTGCTGCGTTAGTTCAGATCCTGAGTCTGTTTAATCATTATTTGTGACCGTCAAGAGTTCCTCAGGTATCTGGTCTGTATTCCATGATGAATCCCAGCCTTCCTCTCCTCCTCTGCACCATCTGTGTGTGTGCCTTGGAGTGAACAGGGAGGCCACTTGTAGCCTCAAAACACATGCATGGGATTCCCAGCAGCTTTACTATCACTTTTTAACACTATAGGACATCATAGTCCTTTAATTTTTCGTAATTCTTCCTTTAAATGTTTGTGTGTGGTCAAATGTTCCAAAGTGTTCCCAAATCACATGTATTTTTTGAAGACATTTTAACCTTACAAACAAGACTTTCCCCCTTTTGAATGATTTTAATGCAAAGCAGAGGGAAATGTTTCATTTGCATTTGCAGTAACTAAATGCATTTTTCCTGGTTAGTTACCATAGATGCCCATCAAAAATATATAAATATTGCAATACTTTAAACAGTGGGTCATGGGTCATTTTGATACTGCATGTGGGGGCTGAACAGAAATGTGCTATAATAAAAAGTACAACATTATTACTTAAATTCAATTTGACTCTGGATGAGGTGATGTTTGCCTTTTTAATAAACAGATGTATTCAGTCTGTGAAATGTGTATACGTGAGAGCGTCTCAGAACAGAACGACAGCCTGGAGAAAAAGCTGTGGAGGAATATTTAGAGTCTGAGTGGCGTACCCCGCTGCTCGCATTCACCTGTTGGATTTTCCTATTGATTCCTTTCCTTTCCACCCGCAGCTAATGGATACACCAGTGCCAGGGCCTCCCCAGGCCTCCTCACCGTTTCCAACGGCAACAGTCTGGGGAAAGTAGTTCCGGCCAAGTCGCCACCCCCACCTCCGAGCCCCCAGATGGCCAACAGCCGCAAGCCAGACCTCCGAGTCATCACCTCGCAGGGCGGGAAGAGCCTCATGCAGATGGTGAGCTCAACCAGCCTGAACTGGTCCTTCATACAATAAGAAGACGTCTCTTTATACCTTTCTGTTCACACATGTAGTTACTAGTCTTTCAAATCAAAAGAACCCTGACGCTTGAAACCCTAGAAACTATTTGTATTCAATTCAGAGAAGCACATCTTCACTGGCCAATAAATGAAATGGAAACTCTACAAAAACATTGGGAATTGATATATTTATATTATAATATAACCATTTATATTATTTAAAAAGAAGATAAACTAGAGGCTGTTCACCATCCTTCTTGTGTTCTTAGCAGAGATTTGCGTTCACGACTCTGCGTTCAATATTGACTCTGGCCAAGTCTCAGATGAATCAGCCGACTCCCACTGACACACTGATAAGATTCCTCAGAGCCTTATCAGCTAAACATGCCCTCACGTCTACTGACATCTTCAACTCACACGGTCCATTTAGAAAGGAGCTCTTGATTGTATCACGCAATCTTCCTCAGCAGTTTGACCACTACCATTTTTTGTGTGTGCTTTAAACCTCCAATATCTGCATACTTCCAATGGATCACATGACTTTTCGTGTGTGGATTGGCTCAAAGCAACGGATAAATATCACCTGCAGTTGCTCTCAGAACTTTGTTTTGGTTTAAGGGCCTGCAACTTTTCTATTAAGCCTCAGCTCTGCCCTTCTCCAGCCAAAAGGCTCTGAGGAACCCACTCTACCGGCGCAGCACATAACCAGCTCAAACCATTTGATCACTTATTTCTGATCCTGGCAACAGGAGAAAACTGTCTAAGAAGATCTTGTGATACGACCAAAAGCTGCAGAAGTGACTAAATGGATCTTTGGTCAACTATTTAATATTCTCCTAATGATGGAGGCGAGGTGATAGGGGCACCTTCTGATCTCAGGTCCGACACAATAACTGTTACAATTAGCATACTTTGAATGACTTAAAAGGTAACGTAAAAGTAATCTGTTAGTAGAAATGTTATGTGTATTTCTTTTCAAATTGCTCTCTTTACTCTTAGTTATCCAAATGAATCAAACTGTCTCTGTTACCCTTGCAGACAGAGGAGGAGCTGGAGTTGGTAAACGAGGTGATTCGCGTCAGTCACTCGCATGAGTCGATGGCTATCGGCTGTTTGCACATTATGAGCATGGTTACCATGTAGACTTTCTCATTGTTTTGGTCTTGCTCCACTGACATTTGTGTTGGGATAGTCTTCAACTTTGTCATTCCCACCCGACTGCATGAGGTTCATGGTTGTGTGGTTAGGATCATGATCTTCGCAGTGATTATCTAGAAACATGAGTCATCCTTGCTCTCGTCTGTTTGAGCCCGGCCCATTTACTTCATGGTACGATATCACTTCGAAGCATGGGTGTCTGTTCACTTGACGAAGCGCCACGGAGCATGTTCCCCGGCACCGACGCCCATTTTCACCTTCCATTGAAATTAGAGTCAATCAGGAAAAAGCCACTGGCGTTCCATTATCAGCATGTCACATAGGAGTCGTGTCTTTTATATGGAAAGCTTAAAGTGTTTAATACTTTAGGATTCTGTGGCTCCTAATATATATATATTTGCATTTGTTTTAAATCAAATAAGTGTTGTTAGGAGCAGTCAATAAGTAGATCAACTTAAAGTTAATCAGCAACTATTTTGATAATTACAATTCTATTAAAAACGTCTCGATTGGAGAAATGTCATCTCATAATAAACTGGATCATTTTGGGCTTGTTTTAAAGCAAGACATTTAAATGGCTCGCCTCAGATTATTGAAACAATGATATACGTGTTAGTTGCAGCCTGAGTTAAAAAGCGTGAACATTTAAAAGTTGAACAGCAGAGACCTTATTGAGAAATGTTGTTCAAACATATTAATCGAGGAAGTGCGTTATCCTTTCAAATCATCTTGATTCAAGATACATGTACTCTGCGGGACGATGGCTTCTGCTTTCTGCTGCTCGTGCTGATTGTCAGGCGACCCCCCCCCACCCCCCTCCCTTTTTTACTATTCCAATCCAAGTTGACAAGAATCTCATTTCCAGAGGATAGTGATTCATTTTCATCACTCTCACCCTGCCTCCCCTCCTCACCTCTTCACAAAGNCTTTTCTCTGTGCGCGGCAAAACAAGCTCGCCAAAATGGCTTCACCAGTCGCAGGATTTCTGCTTCACACACGTTGCATACCGCTATTTTAATACTGCCAGACTGGTGAAGCCATTTTGGCGAGCTTGTTTTGCCGCGCACAGAGAAAAGTGTCATGTATTTTACGACTCATGTGATCGGCTCCCCCGATCGGCATTTATAGAGAGCACCGATTGATCGGCAGAGTGAATATCGGCGGCCGATCGATCGGAGCATCCCTAGCAATCAGACTTTCAAGCAATAACCAGTCAACGATTCAATTCACTGCTAGTACAAACATGAATTTGCATTAAAAGGAATGGTTGTTCATTTCGACATTTGTTTATTTGAGTTGTTGCCCATATTCTATAATTTTGCGCTGAATTATTTGATATAAAGACAAGAGGATTGATGTACTTCGATGTTAAGGTTCATAAGGAATGTGACAGAACACCCAGTACACCTTGGTCCAGGTAGAGAACTACATTGGAGCGCAATTTGAAAAAACGTATAAAACGTAACGATGAATGGGAATACGTCTATTTTCAGAGTCAGAGTACATGTCAAAAGCACAGAGGACACGGTGACAAGAGTTTGGGCATTACATGTTTGATTAATTGTTTCAACAGATGTTTTATAAAAGTTTGATTTGAAAAATGATCAAAAAGTGATTTTAGTGTATTTCAGTGAAATGCTGCACACTATTTGTCTAAGTAGTAGATTTTGTTTAATCTAAAAACAGTTACCGATCTGTCAGAGTTTGAGACCACAGCTGGGAAGAGTTCACAAAAACAGTGATAACAGGAATAAAAATCCCCTGAAAATATCAAATTAACATTTTTGTTTGATTACTCATCGAACTGGGAAAACAAGAAGGACGTTGGTTAGGGAGGAAAACAAGAGCCACGGTGACGGAGCTGCTGTGATTGTTGATCCAAGTGCAGCTTTTTACAAATCTGGGCTGCTTGGCAGGATGGCAGAAATAGAGAAAGAGACATGACGCATGGCAGTGTGCTTGGGTTTTGTACAAAAAATACAAAAAATGAACACGTGGAGGACTGAGAAAAATCCGTCCAAAATATTCTGTGGTGTGATGAAAGCAGAACACAAACTCATCCAACACCGTCCCTACTGTGAAGCGGGGTGCCAGCCTCATGCAGGGCAGACTCGTGAGGAGAAAGGGAACAACAAATGGAGCTGAAAAAGGAACATTGCTGAGGCCATCCTGCTGAAGAGCAGCTGAGACCTTTCACTGCAGCTAATGTGTATACTTGAATGGGACAATGACACAAGCATAAAGCCAGATCAACGATAGAGCAGCTTGAGGATCAGAAAACTCATTAAAAAAAATCTGCGAATGATTTCCAACTGCTGAGTTCCCAAATCTGCCTGGCAACAATCACAGTGTGACTTCAGGAACTGCACGATTTATCATCTGTGATATTAATATGTTGATACTCAAGTTTCTTTTAATCACTGAGCCTTTTCATAAGTATAAAGATCATCTTTTCCAATATATTTGAATGAAAAATGGTGTTGAATAATATTCCGAAAAACAATTTAAAATCAGTTCTGCTTGGGTAATACCACTTTTAGTTTTAAAAACACTTCAAAACAACTTAGCCACAGAAAAGAGTAACTTAACTTAGTTAAGACTCACCTGCTTGTTCCTTTCGTCGGTGATCCGTTGGATCTGAATCTTTTTCCTACCCATGATGCTTTGCAGTCGTGGACACAAATGTCAGTCAAGTGGAGAAACGCCTCTCAGAGGGTGTGAGAGGAAGTGCAGTCTTCTACCGCTTACTTCAGCCCAAAAGCAATCAGACACAGTCATGCATCCGAGGACACGTGCACACACATTTCCCTGGCCAGGTGTGGGGAAGCAGCTGTCGCCTCGAGAGTGAAAAGTGTGATGAAGAGATGTGTGATGTTGAGAAGTGGAGGTCCTCAGTTCATCGTTTGGTTAACAAGGAAAAAAAGTGACAACCTCCCCTGCAGCTGCTGTGGTGAGAGGGGGGGGGGGGGCGCTGCTC